TGGAATGTGGCTGAAATAGGGGAGGTCTCTGTACGGGGCGTAATCGGTGGTTTCGTTTGCTTTCCTTCTCTTTTACAGACCACCTCCCACCTCTAGCTTCATAACTGAACGCTTTTCCACACCTATTTTATCCCGAATCTTGCCTTTAACTCTTCACTCAAAGTTCATGACTCCTAGACTAGATAGCCGCTCCCGCGAAATCGCACCGGTTCCTCGCGGTCAAAAAAGTAAACGTATGCGGCAGTCAATGTGGTAAAAGAACAAACAGTAAATAAATTTCAGGAACTGACCTTCTTGTCTTCAACCAGCATACCATTACTGGTAAACGTAACGTGCCCAAGCCATTTGCGAGCATGAAATGTTCGTTGTTTGTGATGATGCCATTCGGCACTTTCACAATTCAGTTGGTACTGAAATCACATTCGTTGTGAATCGTGGATTCCTCGTATTTTCAGACCACAATCATCAGCAAAAAGCGAGCTGCTCAAAAGCTGAATTCAGCCTAATGATGGTAAAGGGAAATCTCAGGGGATTTTAGCAGGTGCTGCATGCTGTAAAATTTTGAATTCCCCCAAAATCCATGTGGTCCCTTGGCGAATTTCAGCATTGCAGGGGTCGGGGTTTGTGTTCTATAAAAGCAATGCTAGCTCTGATCTTTTATTCGTTTGACTTTCAAGCTTATGCCTTACTGCCCAGCATGTTGAACCTATTGTGGCAGTGACTCAGGCGGTGACCGTTTTCTACCTATACTGACGTAAGTGAAATAAGACAAGAGGAATTGGGAAGCTCGCATTGACTCCGCTAACGCACACAATTCGAAAATGAGTCCTGAAGCGAATCCTATTAGCCAGCCAGGCTCTCCATTGAACACCCACTACAAATCTGATTAATATCAAATTTTCGCAATTGCCCATCCCAAAAATGATTTCGGCTCAAGGAAGGCGAATATTCCTCTAACACACTCTCATCAATTAATAAATAGTAGAGCGCTGTTGGGCGGAAGTGAATGGGCGGAAGTGGTGTAGTGACAAGTGGCACGCTTACCACGCGAGCGGTCCGGGGATCAAATCCTGGGTCGTGAGTCGCCCGGGCCAACCAAGCCTTCCATCCCTCCGGGGTCGGTTAATTGGTACCAGACTTGTCTGGGAGGATAAAAACACTGACTTGTACATCGGCTGGCCCCGCAAGTCATTGTATAGGCCACATCGCATTCAAACGCACTGAATGTACAAATGTACAAATGGAAGTAGAATGCGTGCCGCATCCCAAAAAGGGATTGATCAACGGCAAATGCTTTATCCTTTTTTTTTATAACGCTTTTTCGTGTATCGCAATATACGGGGGCATTGTGGTGGCAGTGCAATTAGAAAATCACGCCAAACACTCCCTTTTTTTGTTAAAATCAGGTTTCATTGGGCGGGGAGTCGCAGACTCGCAGGATGCATGAGTAAATTTCCATTTTTCCCCCAGAGTTCCCGCCCTCTTCTAGGCTTAGCCCTGAAGAATGCCCCTGTATACTGTGACAGCGCCCCTTCTCCGCAAAATTCACGGTAATTCAACCAAAACCATCAAAACAAAAAAACCATCACAGAAACTTGAATTCCACTCACCAGGTGAATGAAATCCGCTGCTCGCTCGGATACGAAACGAATACATTCCACGAGGTGATCTACCTGAAATCACTACTTCTGATAATGCGCACTGTGAAATGGGACCGGCAGTGCAAAGCTGCGACGCTCGAATTTCTACGACTTACCCTCGGCAAAACCCCTCTCTACGACCCCCCCCCATTTCCACAACCTTACCCTGACCTTGCTTTCACCTACCTTCCATCCCTTTCCTTGAACATGCCATTCCATTATAAACCTATAGCTCAGCTAGACCACGCTCTCCTTCTTCCGACAATGTAGTACAATGCCGAAGGCTTCAGCTGCGGCCTCCTATGCGATCCCCCTCTCAGACGCAGAAAAAATGTAACCTCCCCCCACCTCATTATTCGAATCACTGCCCAATTTGAGTGAAACAACCATATTAAGGCGTGGGTAGACGAACCAAGCTTATTAGCCTGAACGACTTTTATAACGCCCTAACCTTTTGCTGTCGGAGCAACCTCTATTACGAGTAAAATTAGTGGAAGTAAGGGACGATAACTAAAGAAACTCTCCAGATCAAACTGTGGGATAACAGTGGTCGATTACAACAATGGTAGATGTCAGATTGGCTTTGAATTTAAAAAAAAAAAGAACCGAAGTAAACCGCCGATAAAGCTATTGTTTTTTCTTGTCTTTGGAGTACGCAGCAGTATTCGTCCATAAAGTTCACCTTGTCGCCATCAATCCATTTGTAGCCCGCGCTAGGCGTAGGCCAGCGCATGGTTCCGCGTTTCGAGCGCGAACAACGCACATCTGTGGCACTCGTCGGCGTATTCATTTCCACCACAGAGTTGGAATTTTCTAGACGATTCTCCGTAAGGTGTTGATGTGTTAAAGAAAAAACCTTCTTGAAATCCTCCTAACAGGAGTGACAGGTCTCCCTCTAGAAAAAATTCTCAGGGAATCCTCAAAAAGGGTGCAATTAAGATTTCTCGACTTTCTGCATTGAACAGCTTCAATACCACTACGAATCCCCACCCGAAGTAGAAGGCGTGGCGCCATCCCAAAAGGAATTGATTAAACGTCTAAATGCTTAACATTTTATTAACAATCCCTCACCTTGTTCGTCCGTCCAGAAATACGGTATCGAAACCCTTGTGAATCCTGGACGTAGCATTTCATGTGACGAATATTCACCGACTCGTCGTAAATGGGTCCGATCCAGACCATCGGCTTCTCTCAACGCATCAAGGTACTGTAGCGCTAAACTGTAATCAGAGGCTTTCAGCTGAGGCAGTCATGTCCTACTACAAACAATAAAAATAAAGAAATAAAGTCTATACCTACCTCTTCATCGATACCCATTAAATATTGAGCATACGGTCCAGCACACATACATCCAGCGCGGCTTTGAATACCAAATAGGTCATTCAGAAGGGCGGAGATGTAATTATGGTGGAAAAACAATCCTGGATGGCCGATCCTGAACAAGCCTTTTGAGTTAGTTCTCCCATAGAAACTTCCAACCAAATTACGCAGCCCCCGCCCCCGTATTCACTAGAAAAGAGAACACAGCTAATCTACTCTCTACAGTAGGCGCTCCGAGCAGTACCACGTTGCAACAGCTCTTCAGACCTTTCAGAAATCGCCTGAAATAATCTATTCGAATTTCACTAATCATTACTGGCTGGAAACTGCAGCAGCTATTCAACTACAACAGAATTGATAGAGAATTTAACTTTTCGAATATAAGCCAAGAACCCCCCCCCCCCAGCTGGAAGGCCAAAGAGAGGTTATCGCGGCTTGCAGCCTGGCAAGGTCTGTTTCAACCGCTGCAACTTTCGACTTGTCTGCTGTCTTCTTCATCGCTATTTTTCATTTTCATCGGGCATATTCTTCATTTTTTTACTACCAGCCCGCTTCCCCGACATTCATAGCTCATGGCCGAGAACCATAATAGTTTATTTCTAGGGCAAAGGCTCAAAAAGCAAGCCAAAGTTAGTAAAAAACAAACTCGTCGCAGCAACGGAAGGCGAAGAAGATGTTGGATGGCCGAGTTTCCACTAAGTTCCCTTTGAGCTTGATGCTCAGTTACTAAGAGCGCATTGATATTGCGCATACACTGATCACTGGGACGAGATGAATCGGCGGGCACTTGAGGAGTTGCCAGGAGTCAGTTAAAAAAACGATCGTGCTCTAGACGGATATTGCTTTAGACAGTGTTATACATCAGCAAGAACTACATGGAGTGTTTTAGCGACATGAACTGATACTTTTTAGCCCATGACAGTCGACCGTAACAGACTTGTTATCAGGGTGAACCATGAATAGAGATTACTTGATGTGGGATCTTAATGGTCTTTATGGGAAGAGGGGCGTATTTGGGACTTCTATGGGTGGCAAGCGGGGAAATTGGAGGGTGACAGTTGAGAAAATAAAAAGGGCGGCAATCTCAAAGATGCTAGTTCATCAGCTACACATACCCCTTCCCGCTTCTCTCAGCTCAAGCCAATTTTGGAAAGATACGTGACTATTTGATCTTTCTTTCACGTCCTCTGAGCGGATGCTCTGAGCACAGACGATTAGAGAACGGCGCCTGGCTCGGCTCCAAATCCCAAGGAGGAGGTGAGAGCCCTAGGACTAAGCCTTGGAGGGAGGAGGGACTCCGGAGTGGGTGAGCCAATTACATTGTGGCAAAAGTTTGAATGTGTCAGATCACAGTAATCATAAGCCGCTGTTTAGGCGAGAGCATCGAACGAGGCGGTTTGAAAGACGGAGTGCAAGCTTCCCATAGACCACTCTTGGAGTGTTTTCAGGGGCGGAATCAGAAATTAAGAGTGTGTCAAGTGGTAGCAGGTTCAACATCACTATTAATACCATTGACCATAGAGCGTTTGGGGAGTCACATTCATCATATGATAGGGGTTCGTAATGGGCACTATTTCTCGGCACGCTACTCATCTTTGTAAGCAATGTTGGAGATGAAATTTGAAGAATTCGTAAAAACACCTGAATAGTGGGACGCCCACTCAAAAAAATTGAAGACTGAACCCACTCTGATTTTTGTCTTTCCAAAGTGACTATGGTGCGCTCTCCTACCGCCCTCTTCAACTTCACTGCCAGAGCTAAGCGAATAATTCCAACGCTATCTGGGGTACCGCCTTCCTCACGATATTCCGCATCCTTTAGGTACCATTCACCTGATGATGAAACCTGAAGAAGCGGTTTTCAGTTGTGTGCCGAACTTAGAGCACAGCCGAAAGCAAAACTTAGAAACCTAGAAATACTCACAAAAAACACTGTTCCTCCGCCGATTCGCTTCGGAGCAGTCGCTTTTATTATCGACTTTTTGACAACGAGTACACCTGGAATTAGGCGGAGTCGTGAGATTTCCAGAGTGAAAGAAGTATAGAAAGAATTGCATTCTTCAGGGTGAGTCATTAAAGGAAAAAATCCGCAAAGTGTCCAACAATTTGGCGTGCGCCACGCACACGTGGGGCGGCGTCCAGGCACTGAATTTCTCAAAGGTCGGACCAAAAATCGAGGCTTGTTGAATTTGAGGCATAATTAACCCAAAATTGGATTCAGGAAAAAATTTCCATACGCCATTTAGCATACAGCAATGAAGGCTGTGGTTAATGAGGAAGGTAAAAAAAATCAAGAGCGTACCTGAAAGTTCGAAATCTCTGAAAAGAACTCACCGGGTGTAGAAACTCCGCCCACGAATTTGTGCCCAGAAAAGAACACTGCGTCAACCGGATGAGTACCGTTGACATTTATTTCCACATATGGAGCGGAAGATGCATAATCCCAAACGCTTAGTGTATTATACCTAAAGTTATAGAATAACCTAAGTTGGATAAATCAGGCAGTAATTCAAGATAGAAGTTCATACGGCACACACCAATGAGATATCGCAAAAAAATCAAAAAGAAATTGAGGGAACGCCACAGGAATTGACAAAGGCCCAGTTAACGACGAGAAACCTTAACGACAAGAAACCGCTACAGAGTGGAAGGGATGGGAGATCGTAAGTATTAATGTTTTCACTTCAAGATAGTGAATATGCTTCGCGTGAAATGATGGTGCAAGGGGATAAAGAAGACCACTAGGGTCAGTACTCACGTGAATTTTTTGACCGTACGAGAAAACACTAGTAGCTTCGACGGACACTTGGTTAGCCCTTACCTTTGAGAGTTGCCTTCCACCACATCCCATTCGTCAGGGACTCGGCTGTCGTTAAGTACGCTCAAAAATTCAAAATTAAGTGTCCTTATTGATGCTGCTGATGCTACCTGCTGCCGCTGACAAGCCCATAAATTAGCCTCGAGTAGCTAGCAGGGTCAACCGTCGTGTTCGCCAGAGTTTTTTTCCGAATTTTTACGACTAACCCTGTTCCGAAGACCCCCATGACCCCCCCTATCATCTCAACCACCGCGACTGTTGATTACCAGTATGTTGTTAACTGAATGACACACTTGCCAAAATTTTTCCTCTGCCCTCCATTTCAAATGTCTAATCACCACGTGATGCACCGATGTACTAATCAAATTGCTCACTTCTTGAGAGTAGCACTGATCTGAGGTACATCCATGCAAATTCCTGTGATATTCGAGCACGCAGTGAATGCTGCCAGCAGCTGGGATTGAGGGTGCTTCTCATGAGCTTCTTCCAATACACGGACGAGATCAGCTGAAAAAGAGGTCCTAGTTGTGCGTCACAGATTCTCACAAAATTACCAGTTATAATTCAAACTTCAACACTTATAGTTGGCAATTATGGGAGAGGTCCGGAAAACTTCTGCCAAACAAAGGAATATTTGGCCATTCTGTGAGCCACTTGATTTTTGGTTATGATGATGTATGGCCTATAAAATGCTCACAAAAAAAACTTAGGAAAAAGTCGGGCATGTGCGAAAAAATAAATGTAATGGTGTGGCATACATATGTAGTGCCACAATGTCCATGGAGGTAGCAAAAGCGGCGGCATACATAGTTGCCGCGCTATAGTGCGTCGTGATTGGAAGGCGTATTGTCAGAGCCATGCAGATGATAGATAGAAGCCTATGAAAGGAAACAAGTTGCAAAGGAGAGCCTGGGCAGCGGCCGTTCGAAGATTTATGAGGAGAATTCAATCTCAAAGCCACGAATAAAACGTGAAGTCTAGTAAAAAGCAGGGCAATAGAACGGTTAGGAAAAGTATGGATACAAAATGTATGTCAAAGGCAATTTATCAGGATCAACTCTTCAGAGCTTGTAGACGTTTCGAAACTGCCACCAAAAGGGTAAGGTTCGCTTCTGGGATGTGCGACGCTCAACAGAACAGGGAAAATTTCAAGAAAGAGATGGCTGCAAACATCGTAGTGTTAGTGGTGCTGAATTCGGGATTATAGGAACCTTCTCTAACCTCCAAACCACCTTGTCGACGACGTCTAATAGATCCGCAACGAGTATGGCTGTATTTCAGGTAGTGTATTTTAGTTTATAGGTGAGAATGCATAGTTGGGAGTAAAAATTGAGAGAATAGCAAGAAGACGGTCCTGCTGATGATGCCAGCTATTTGTGGCGCACTTGAAACTGATCTTACAGCTATGTGCACCTCATTTGACAGCAGGTTGACGCAATACTCCCAGCTATGTACCTACGGGACCACTTACACTAATCATTGCTCTGCAATATAGTTCCCTGGACATATTAAATTCCCTCAACAACCCAGCCAGGCAGAAAGTAAAAACTTGTAGAGTAGGAGGAGTATAATAAAAGGATAATGAAGGAACACTTCCACCCAGAAATATGATTAATCACGAACAAGTGAATGAAATGAAACAGCGTATTTCAGAGAATAAAAGTGTGGAGATCTTCGAGTCAAAGTGTTGAAAAACCATTTTCACTTGAATAATGAACATTGCAATTGCTTTGCAGCAGTTTGTTTGTCGTAACACGGAAGTACTGCACAAAGAAATCAAAACTCGGAACGTGACGTTGTTCGAAGAAAGAAATGCTCACACACCGTGAACGGATTTACCGATGCCGACTAATGCAAAAATGTAGTTTGACATACCAGAAGAAAGTGCACAAGTAAAATCCTATCCGTATCTACTGTAGAATTACGTCTATTGAAACTTACCGAGATCGATGCCACCGTTGCTGGACTCGCGTACATAATAACAAGCTTCAGCAACCGCACGCCAAGGTAGCGTATTCGAGTGATGTTCATGAACCGATAAAATCACTACCTAAAATTAGAAAAGAATCGCCATGTATAATAGCAAAAAACATCTTGACCACTTTTACCTATGTTCAGACGATTTACGATACTTCAGCGGTACATGGTTCCCATTTGTTAGTGATGTTATAGTTCAAAACTCGACAAGACTGTTGGAACCCTGATGAAGCGGTACGAATAAGATTCATAGCAATTTTTTGAGCTCTCGTTTGCAATACATTCAAATTTATAGCGATCCATGTGTTTGCTTCTTTCAATTTTCGCGCTGAGGAGATTTACCGCCGTGCAAACCACTCA